GCGACAGACCGGAGAGATTGCATCCTGGACAGCACAGACAGCACAGCAGCAGCGAAGGGCACGGCGACCTTGGAGCGCTGTTCGCGGGAGGTCTGCGGCCAGGCCGCCACTGCCACGCCCTCGAGTATGTCTCCGAAGGTGTCGACCAAGATCATGAGACAGCCCTTCAGGTCGTCCAAGGTGCATGGGTTGTGCGGCCTGAGAGAGACGTGCCGGAGTTTGGGACAGCGCAGAGAGGCCAGTAGAGCCTTGACGGAGCCGACAGGCGCAGAGACATCGAGGGACTGCAGTACGAGGAACGGGGCCTTGTAGGCACCGCCTGGAAGGGCGAACTCGCGGCGAGTCTTGAGCGTCAGATGGGCAAGGCTGCGGCACCACGAGAGGACGACCAGCGACTCGAACCTCGGCGCTGCCCAGCACCTCGTCAGCGCAGTCACCGCCATCCACGAGCCGACTCACTGCATATGCGGATCTGTGTCAGGTCCGGCGCGGCCTCTTGGATCCGCACGAGCATGTAATCCGTCAGCTGGTCGCGCGCCGTCAGGATCCGCTTGTACTTGCACTTCGTCTTCGTCGACATCTCGAACTGCGGGCCGTACACCTCGTCCCAGTGCTGCACGTCGAGGTAGCGCAGCGTACGCGGGATGAGGAGCAAGAGATCCACGTCGAACGCCGAGTCGACGTACCAGACCGCGCGGCGCAGGCGGGGGAGGAGCGGCTTCCCGCCGTTCGCTGCCGAGAGCGCGCGCCAGACGAGGATGTCGACGGGCGAACGGTTGAGCCCGTTGGTGGAGAGGATGCGCCGCGCGTGATGCTGGAACCGAGCGAACCGGTCAGGACAGAACCCGTCGCGCATGACCTAAGATAATTCCAGTTTAGTTATCAAGAACAAGAGGGCATGGGGTCGTACGTAGATCGGGCAGACAGCGACGAGAGTCTTCCTCTTCTTCCGCAGCGGCTTCGGATCCCTACGCTTCCATACGCCCAGCACCAGGAGGAGCGGGTCGAGGTGGTCCAAGTGGCTCCAGAGAACGTCGAGCGCAGGCTCGTACAGAGCTCTCCCAGCCAGCGCGGCGTCAATTAAGGTCGCGTTCCATTTGTTCTTGGTAGCGGCTTTCTCGTCGTAGTCGCCGGTAGAGGTGGGCTGCACGGCAAAGTAGCTGAAGATCTCATCGAGAAGTTCGCGGCAGCGCAGAACGCGGAAGGCCATTGACGGTGTCGCACGAAGCAGAAACTCGACTTTGAGCGTTATTTAGGTATCGCTGTCGGACAGATGAAGGAGCTGCAAGCGATGAGGAAGATACAGGATCAGGCTGAGGAGGAGGAGGAGGAGGAGGAGGAGGAGGAAGAGAAGGAAGGTCTCTTGAACGAAGTTGAACTTAAGAACTTAAAGAGGCGCGATCGACTCACGTGATTTGGAAATTGCAGGTCTGCCTGAGCAGTGAGCAGCGCAAGCCCGTCGGACCATTGGATCACCTCATTACAAGCTTCATGACTAATCATTGACATTACGGAAAGGATCCCGACAATACAATACAACGTGGAAGAGTATTCTGATGAACGGGAAGTAAAGCGTGGGTACAGATGTCGAAGTGGCAGAGGGATGCATCAGGACTTGGACCTTCAACAGCGTAGCCTGCACTGCAAGGCCGACCCTCCCACGCACCACTACTTGGCTCCGAAGGTCACGATCGAGGCAAAAGCATCACTTGTGGATGAAGTACTCGCCCCCTGCAACATCGTGTCCTCTACGATAACGCCAGGGCACGTTTACCACAGTGTAGCACACGCTTCGTCGTCCTTCGCTTCACCACGAGTTTGATTTTGAACTGTAGAGGACGAGCATCCGAGCCAGTGAGCCATGACATCAGTGTCAGCAGAGCAGAAGTCAGCAGACAGGCTCGAGTCTGTTCCCCGTGGCCAGCTTGAAAACGCGCAGATCAGAACAGTGATCCGGGATTGTAGGCAGCGTTCCGTGCCGGGGCAACACGCAGCTCGATCTAGAGCTCGCTCAGAGGTGATACAAAGCTGAGCAGTGTCCAGCCAACACCGGAGCAACATCCCGGGAGCCGGACCAGGGGTGTAGAGGTTCGAACGAGATGGCCACGGCGCCGACGCAGACAGCGCTGTAGCGGCCAATGGGATGGACTAGCCCCATGTCATCCCCGAGACTGACTCATGTTGGCCGCGCTCTCGAGAATGTGACGGAGAGCGTGACTGCCCGCGAGCCAGGATTTGAAGTCGCGCCTTCAGAGGCAGAAAATCTGCCCGGTGAAGTCAGCAGAAGTGAAGAGAATCATACGAGAGCGGGTCGCTTACTTCCTGCATTAAAAGGTATTGATGCTATCCATAGAAACGGTGTGTATGTGCGCACCACAAACAGTGACCGATACGATACCGCATTGTTGTCTGGTGTCTCTGTGCACTGGGAGCGATAGCCGCACTTGCGCAGGAAGCGAAAAAGGTATGCATGTGGTCGAGGTCACTCCGAACTCGGGGGCCATACGAAACCGGGTCACAGACTACAGCCCGCGGGAGCGACGTGCAACAGCACCCTTTGCAAGATCGCACAATGATTCGTCAACGCTGCGAACCAGAGCATTAGCGGATATCCTTCCGCAACATGTCTGGATCACTCACCGCTCGTCGTAGCCTGAGTAGATCGCAGCTCATCCTGGAGCGCCGCTATCACCACGTCGCGTTCTGTAACCCAAGACTATGAACAATCGACACATACTAGTCTCCCCTAGGCAGACCCTAAAGAAGACCTCTTTGAGTGGGGGAGAGGACTAGACACATACACTGCGCGATCAAAACGGACCCCCAACGGCCCTACCCATCCCCTGCTTGACCCCAGGAGCGACGTCGCAAGCGCTGACAAGCCACGCCCCAGCCGACACACTGTTACTATGTCCACCCGCGCGCACACTCACCGACTGGTAGGCCTTGTACCTGGATGATAATAAGGACCGGGGGGGGGTCAGAGTATATAAAACAATTTTCGATGTACATACCTCACACCATTGCCCTTCGGGCATCGTCCGTGCCCGGGACACTCGCGCTCGTCGACCCGCTTTTCGCTTGTTCACACGCGCATCCTGTCCGCGAGTTCCGTCTCGAGCTGTTCAATCAGTGTCGTCGACAGCCAGGCGAGAGTCGGTGCCACTTCCGACCGAGCGTATCCCCAGAAACAGCCTGTTGAGTATATGATCGCTTTCTCGGGTTATCATTACCAGCAGCAGAGTCGTCAGCGACCGGCCCTACAGCTCCATACGACCGCTTGAGCGGGACTCTGAGGTCGCCTGCCAACTTGCCAGTGTTGACCGGGTATTGGTACGCAGATATTACGGCGTGTAGAGTAAGAGAAAAGAAAAAGAGGGTAGTGGTGCAGTCTGTGCGGCCTACTTAGCGGGACGAGTACTAGGTCACGGTGGTCGAGAAGATGGAGTTCGACGGAGAGATGCATCTGATCACCAAGATCCTTCCAGATTTGTCTCCGCGAGTGCTCAAGCGCTCAGGTGGCTGGCAAGTCCTTCCCGCGACCACGACGACCACCTCTATAGCTCTGGCTTGGTTCCATCCCTATATCGCTGGACCTTCTCTTATTGCTGTGATACAGAGTGGGTACTGGAATGAGCAGCTTGATGCGATGCGCAGCTTCTGTTTCGTAACAAATCTGCGCGGCTGGCTTCATTTGTTCATTGGTGACTACTTTTCTCGGTTGTTCTTCCTGTGCGTTGGCATCGTTGTTCCTCTCCTCGCGGGCATCTACTAAATCTACACCGTTGACTTTTGACTAGTGACTAGTGACTGTCCAGGCTTCACTATGATTGAGGCCGAACTGTGGACTCGTGTGTGTGTCAGGTAAGTAAGCGGAGACTCACGCAGAGGTTTATCCGACGATCATGACTAATAGCCGCTTATAACCTTCATGATCCTTTCACTCTTGAGTCTTGTGCGGCATCTGCACGAAGACGCACCCAGCTGCGACCTCTCATCCTTCCGCCGTACAGATCCAAGTCCCCCTCTGGCCCTAACATATCATATGTGCATCACTGCGTGACACGATCCTGACAGAGGAATGCACGTGACGTCACGCTGGATGTGCACAATGCGAACGCGCGGCGCGCGACCCTTGCAACCGGCCATACGAATATTCGTGTAGCAAGTGGGCCCGCTTGCGTCGTGTTGGGGAAGTGCTCAGGCATGCTTCCATCTGACCTTGATTGCGGCCATGGAATCGACTGCAGTATTCCATGACAGCAACCAAGTTTCGGTCAGATTGAGGGGTATGTTGCGGTTGTTTTTGTGCCGTCGACTGAGTAGGTTCCTGATTTTGGGATCTGGACAGTGAACGTGTGAACGAGGACGTGAGCCGTGAGTAATCGAGTCGCGATTCCCTCAAAAGAAATACTGCACTGATTGTACGTTCAATGTTCGCCCGATGTTCTAGCTACTACCGTTAGACCCCGAGCGTAAAAGTGAGCTCAGGCGGACCGTATTGGCCCTTATATCTTGAGGACATTTCCATGAAGTTTGTATCATACAGAGAAATACCGACAGCAAGCTAGGCCGTAGCAAAGGAAGCGAATCGCCCGACGGGACACGGAGGGATCAGACCTCTCCCGACGACCTCCGTCTATGCGCGCTCTCCTGTGGAGGGGCTCAAACTATGGGATTAGTTGTCGAATGTCTGATGCCATTCTTTACAGTACTTATGAATGAGTCGTGTAGTTTTCGACAACCGGTGGAGCCTATCCTAGTGTATATCAAGTAATCATATCTTCCGGCCTGCCCCCCCTGATAGGACGCAGCCAACATCACTGCAGCAGGTCAGGACATAGGAACAAACTTGCATTGGATACATAAGTGAGTAGTAAAGAACGGTGGAATGACACAGACAGCTCGGGTGACTCACACGGTGTGACTGTCACATTGATGCTTGCGTGGTTCAAGTTCAACCATCGTTCGACAGCGTTCGACTCTTACTTACCAGCACCTCTCCAAGAGTCCCAACCTCCCCCGTTTCGTGTGCCGCACGGATGCGGCCCACTCCGTTGACTTTACTCTATACCGTATAATCACGACTATTCCCGGCGATCACCATCATGTCTTCAAGTCCGTTCACCGTTCTCATCCAATACGACGTCAGCGTTCGCAACGCGAAGACTTCCTGCTTCTCTACCACCAGATCCGATGCACTACAATTGATTTTTTCGTATCTCAAACAAGACCTCTGGAGTCTGGGGATTCCTCTGCCCACTTTATCGAGCATGCTCAATTGGTCGCAAGGCGTGATTATGTGCTATTTGGGACGGGGAGGCGGCTCGGAAACACGGTGTAAGTGTCCCCAACATCATTTTGCGGCCATGACACGTCGTTTCCTTGTCTCACTCGCTCGATTTGTAGGTGAAGGTCATGGGCAAAGTAGATTCCGCTGTGCGCTTGGGCCGTTTGCCAGAGCTCAGCATGTAAGTACTGTGGTCGTTATCTCTAAACGATTCCCTGGGCAGGTTGACTCAACGTGATTTTGTCTGTAGTAAAGAGATGAGATTGCCGTCTTGGTATGATACCCTGGTTATCGTGATATATCCCCGCGACTGATCCCGTACATCCAGGATCAACGTGAGCGGACCGATCCCACCCAGCGTAGTGGGACCTCCCAAACGACCCCGGTCTCCATACAACGACTCCCCCCAGGCTAAGCGCCCCCGTGACGACCGCTACTCTAGCGAACGGATCTCAGTCGACACCGCTGCAGGTACTACTCTGGGCAACACTACTCCGGCATCCCACTCGGCGTCAGCTCGCGGCCCGTCTCACTACGAATCGGTACAGCCTCGTCTGGCCAACCTCTCTAGCGCTCCTACTTCACAGGCTACTCCGACGGACCTTTCAATGTCATGGCTCGATAACACTCACTTAAATCGGAAGAGGCAACCTACTGGCGGATCTGGATCGGGGCCTCACGTTACTGTACTGCATGATCGTGTCAACACAAACGTACCTACACGTACCAAGGCTGCGGACATCACAAACTCGACCAAGCCTGAAGCTTCTGTGGGGGACACTACCGCTCGTTCTCAGGTAGACTCTATGGCTCGCTCAGCTCCGGCTCCCCCGGTCACTTCTGGCGGTAACACTCGGGCTACTGCCTCGACTGTCGATCCACGTCCCGCTGCCCAACGTAGGATCTCCTCTGGACCTGCGAACAACGCCTCTGGTAGCTCCTCTGGATCGGCCTCACGTATCGCAACTGTCCCGTCTCGATCATCTGTTATCTCTACGCAGGTTTTGTACACGGCACTCGGGATACCCTGTCCTCACGACCCGTGCCGAAAGGTTGCGCAGGAGCTCAAGAATGCGACAGAGAAGATAGTCGCGCTGGTCCAGGAAGTGGACGCATCCAAGAGGGAAGCTGCAAATTGGGACCATGCGCGGACCCGCATGGAGGCGAAGAACATCGAGACAGAAGCGAAGAACATCGAGACAGAAGCGAAGAACATGAGTGAGTGAAATTTTTCACCTTGCGTATGCCCGTCGCCATTGAGAACGTGTGATGGCAGCCTTGGAAGCGAGGATCAGGCCAGGAAACCGGGACCTCGAACGCGAGCGCCAGCGTGTCGCTAGTAAGTGTTACTCCACGGTCGTGCGGTTGCTCAAGCTGATACTTCCGCTTGTCTGGCTGAAGGCTATATGCAAGTGATTGAGACCGAGAAGGCCATTGTTCGCGTGATCGCCAAAGACAAAGAAGGTAGGTTTTCCGCTTGGGTACCGGTCGTAAGGTTGGGCTGACATGGAGAAGGCCTCGAGAAGCGGGTTGACTGCTTGGTGGCGGAGATACAGAAGCTTGCACCTGTAGGCTACGGTGAGTCTACTTCGTTCTCGGGGATGTACGGGATATGTGCTGATTGTTGACAGATTTTAGTCACCTTAAGCAGGGACGAGCCGCAGGCGGATCAATCTATCGTGTGGAAACCCAGGACGAGCACGTCTCGCAAGATCGCGGTCAGTAGGATAGCACATACTATCGTCATCATTTTCTGTCACATGTACCACCGTTCGTTTTGTATGCAACGATACATCTGGTGACCATCTCTGAAGGATAGCTCAGACGACGTGAAGCGATCGTGAGATCATACCACCAACATCCACCGGGTCATCCGCTGATCGTGACAGTGCCCTCCTCGAGATTCTGAATCTGGTCCCCCGCCGATTGTGCGCGCAACGCTGTACAGTGTGGATATGTTAGTAATGTTGTTCGACGAAGACACGTCTACTAGCCAGCCTGAGGCCCATCTGTGACAGCACCGCTCACGGACCATCCTGCTAGCATGGAATTGCAATAACCTATAAGTATGAGTCACCTGCGTGCTTGTCATAGCAGAGGACGATCCCTCCTGCATAGGATGCACATCACTGACATCAGGATTGGGAGTATGCTCTGCCATGCAGATAGAATGCATACTCCCATACAGCGAACCGTGCGCGTGGATACATACTTAAATATAGATAGGATGTTACTTGCAACCGGACACCTCAGGGTCCCGCCCCATAATCTGCGGCGACGAGAGCGTCTCCGCTGAGGCGCGATATCTCCACGAACGCGTCCATGAGCGCCGGTACGACGAACGGCCCGCTGCATTCTCGGCGAACGTCGGCCACGGCCCACTCCGCAGCCTCGCGCCGCCGCCGCTCTTGCTGAAGCGCGGACTCCGCCGCCCTCCTCGCCTCCGACTCGGCCCCCAGTCGCGCGCGGAGGCCTCGAATGCGGATGTCAGCTCTCCCATTCGTCTCGCAGGAGTGTAGGCAGGAGATCGGAACACGCACCGCTGGCCTCGTCGTCCATCGTCTTGCGCACTTCCGCGCGGGCGTCCGCGGGCCTGGGGGCCATTGAAGGCTCTGGCACGGGACGCGCTCCCAACCGTTCTAGGTCCCGTACAAGGCGGTCCTCCCGGGCGACGAGGGCGGAGAGCTCCCGTCTTACGTCCCACACCTCGCGTGTCAGGTTGCCGACGCTGTCTCCGGGCATCACAGAGCTCATGCTCGATGCGGCGCTCCAGGTCGACAGGATAGAAGGGTGTGCCCGCGGAGAAGACGACGCTCTGGACATGGGGGTCTGCGGAGAGGTGCGCTCGGTGCCGTGGGTAGTGGCTGCGTATGATTGCTTAGGAGGGGTCGGTGCTCGAAGGGCCATGCCATCGCTCTTCTCCTTCTCCTCTACTTTGATTCTGGTCGACGGGCCTGCTTCCGCGACGGGCTGCGGACTGGCTCCTTCCATCCGAGTTGTGTGCGTCGCCAAGCCAGAGTGTGCGTTTGCTAAGGGGTTGCGGGGGCTATCGAACCGTTGCGATGTATCGTCGAAACGTGCTGAAAACGCCCGGAATAGATCAGGATGTCGTTATGCATTGAACGCGGGCGATACAGTGTCCGCTGCACGAGAAGCTTGCCTTTTCGTGAGAAAGCCGCGCTGGTGGGTGGACCGATGGGCAACGGGGCCATCCTCGATAGAGCGTAGGTTCTTGGTGCACTCTGGATTCTGCCAGTCGAAGCTGGATGTACCGACCGAGTAGTCGCAGCGGTTAATTTCTGTGTCGCCATAGACGGGCCCTTCACGCCCGGTGCAGTGATATATTGGCATCTACCCCTGTGAAGAAGCGACAACATCAGCAAAAATAAAGGAGAGGAAATGAATGATAGTCACTCCGCCTTCAAGCCTACCATAGAACTATCACATAAGTCAAGAAGCTGCTTGGTTGGCGGTGAACAAAAATGCTGCTCACATACTAAGCTCGGGTAAGAAATCAGCATCGATTGCGTCGAAGGCGATGGAGATACGTGCTTTCAGGTCCTGGACGTCGTAAGAAAAATGATAATACGATCTAAATTTTGGAAAAGAATTGGATCCTCAACGTACCAAGTCCCGCTCGGTCCTCCACGTGCACACCGCTAATCCGGACAGGCCCTTACAGATGCAATCATCAAGAATAGGAAACCCAAGTGTCTTCAGGTCATCGCTAATGAAAGCGTCGAGGAACACAGAGACGGGCTGCTTATCGTCCTTCATTGTCCGGATCTTTTGGCCTCGGTAATGGATATGCAATGTAGTAGCGCTCATGGCGTCGCTTCTGAATCCGGGTCTACATATGGTCAATGCTCAATATTTAGGGTGAGTGCAGTCAGAAGTAGTTTCTGACCTTCTGCAACGGATCCTGATCGGCGCCAGGAGAGATCAAAGTGACTGCAATTTGTGCAAACGTCCCGAGTCGTCGTAGGAGTGGAACTTGGGGGAGTATCACCCTGGGCTTTTGGTGATTGCCCAACGAAGAGGTTCGACGTCGGGAGACAGGATACAACAACGGCCGTCACGGTCTACCTTGTGCTTTGTTTCAGTCCGACCCCTATGCATTGCACTGCTCCTCCAAGCCTGGCCCGGAGCGCTGATTGGCGCTGATTACGCCGATGGACGCGTTACCGTGACAACTCTTCGGTCATGTGAGCGTGACAGTCGCGTCGCGCATGTTGCGGCGGGTCCGGGCGGGAGGCGAAGCGACCACGGAGCTCCCTCAACCGGCAACCAACATCGTCGATACCTGTGCAGAACTATCATTTGACTGCTACTCTGGCTACCCTCTTTTTCAGCTGTCACGGCCAAGGTACCTCCACGGGACGAGCCTGAGTACTTTACCCACAAGTGATGCTCTCGTCGTGAACTCCAGGCTGTCGTCTCCATCTCCCCCCTCGCTCGCTTGCACAGGCTGCAGCTCAGGCTCGTCAACAAACGCCGTACACTACGCTCTCTTGATATCTCTTCCTTACACGCCATAATGTCTACGTGCTTACACCCAGCCGGCGCTAGCAAGTCAGGCGACCCCATCTCGCTCAAGCGACCATATGACGCTATGGACCAGGCCGCTGGCGACTCTGCTGGTACGCACAACCCGAGGACACGCCCGTACCCTCGACAGACCGCCCTGGAGACACGCTCGCTCGGACGCGGCGACGACTCCCGCTTCAAGTTGGCTGTCGACGACGCTCATACCGCACCCGCTCTCGGACTCGGAGCCTCGACTACACCTGGTTCTACCGCTGCGAAAAATGAACCTGGGACTGCTATTTCAAGCTCGTCTGGCTACTCGCTCGAGGGAGCCTGCGGGATAGTCAACGTTGGCTCTGCGAGGTGGTCCGTGGACGCGTCCGAGTCTGGCCTGGCTGCGCCCCCCGAAGTTCCTACTACCGGGGATGCAGCCCCTAGCGACATCCTGCCCTGGTCACTGGCAAGAACGGCGCCCTCGACGCGGTCTCCTCGCGGTCCCTGGATAACACGAACACGAACACGAACACGAACACGACTCAGACTGGAGACTTCCCCCACCGACTCGGAGTCCACTCGGAGGACGGCGGCTCCGACTCCGCGTCGCGCACGGCGGACCTCGAATGTCCCTATTATCAACGCGCCACGGGGCTCCTCGCGATTCTGACTGAGCAGATCGAACGGCTCGAGGCGGAGCTCGCGGACGCGCAGCGCGAGTGCAGGCGCAGGGCGGCGTCGGTCTGCGCACGGGGCATCGGTGAGTCGTGCGCGGGGTGTCGGCTGAAGCGTGGTTGGCAGCGCGCGAGAGGGCCGGGCACTGAGGGGAGGGGTGAGGAGGAGGAGGCGCGTCTTGAGAGCGCGGTGTGCGTGTCGGTTGAAGTTGTTGATTGCCTGGGCTTATAGGACGCGATGCGGCGATGTGGCTGAGCTGCGGTGTACGTCGGCTGCGACGGGTGTGGTCCTGATCTTGGATAGGGGGCTGGATGCGCGTCGCTCCCGCGGGATATGGTGCGTGGTTGACTTGCGTGTCCCCGATCGAGTGCGCTGAACGCTTACAATAGAGAGTTTTGGCAGCAACTGTGAAAGTTCACGCCACCACCAGACCACAGCTCCGACACCACCGATCTCTGTCAGATCTGCGGTGGGCGTGACACGGGCGTTACCGGCCAGCCCGCCCTCCCGAGCGTCGTCCGTGAGCGAATTGCCATGAATAGTAGGAGTGTCACGGCCCGTCACTCGGCGTCACACTCTCGACCAGCCCCACGGAGCCCCACCACCACCAGACCTCAGCTCCACCTCCACCGTTCAATTCAACTTCAACAGTTGTTTCCAAAACTCTCTAATATAGGCGGAAGATTGTTGCCGGCGATTCAGAGCTCCCACAAGGGCTCCACGCGTCGACTCGACGCCTCATGAGCTGTTACATCACTATCTTCGCCTTTGACATGTACAGTCTACCTGATCCATTCAATGTATGGTCCACAGTCGCCGTCGCAGATTGAGTCTTCCTACTCTGCTCTGCCCGCTCGTGTCCGCTCACTCGTTGTCGATGTGCACGTCCTTCTTGCTGGCGACCGTGCGTCTCGAATGCTCCGAGTCAAACCACGAGACCCGAACGAGGTCACACAGGCGCGCGCGCCCAGCGACGGTGACGGACGCAACACGGCGGGAGCAATTCCGAGAGATCGACTGGTTCGACTGGTGTTGTATGGCGCCTGTGGAGCAACGATAGCCGCGGAGGGAATCAATCACTGTCAGGCCCCACGCGCGCTCAAGTACGCAGGAACCTCCACTCATTCCCAAGTTCGCACGTCTGCAGTCGGCCAACCGCTTCCAGCGACGCAGGGGCCCTCCACTCGCTCTGTCCGTCGTGCATTTCGACTCTGGCCGCCCAAGGCAGCGACACGTGACGTCCCGCCGCGCGGAGGAAAGGCAAGACGGGGTGGGGCGTGGTCGGCTGACGGGCAATAGCTGATACAAGCACGCCCGCTAGCCGTGCACCGAAGACTGTCCCTGTGCCGATACCACGTAGCCATGTGAGGAAGCACTGACCTCTGCGCAACCGCATTGACGCTCGGTGGGGAGCATGCTAATACCGGGGGGCAGGCCTGGGCAACGGGTTACTTTTTGACGTCTTGGACGACGGCGAGGTAAGCAGGATCCGCGGGACGCGTGGACCGAACATGGCAAGGCTTGTCAGTTCTCGTGCGGCCACGTATCATCTATTCTGGACTTGCATGTCGCGCCGCTGGCAGGTGATATATGATCGTCGCCCGCTGCTCTTCCCCGTCGTGTGTCACCCTCGCCCCCCCGGCGTCGCGCCTCCCTCCCTCCCATCCTTCGAATTCAACATCTGCTGTACAGTGCAACGTCCGAGTCCTACGCTTCATTCCCCAAACGAGCCCTGCATCTCTGCCCTCTTCGGCGCGACGAGTCTGCAATGCCCTTCCGAGGGACGGGACCAAAGCACCCTTGACGGCGAGGTGGGTCTTCGCAGCCGCTATGTCCTCGTCGTGTTCCTGACCATCTCTGCGCCGCCAAAAAGGGATAAGTCTTCGATAGCATCAGGCCTTCAAAGACGTGAGCGCTGCATCCCGTGCGAGAGCGCGACTCGGACTTCTGACCAGGCGTGTTGTCCGACCCGTCGAACCAAGATCACAGGCAGCACTCCCTCGTTGGCGTCCTCGCACCAGTGCTCTCACGTGGGCTCAAGAAGCAGTGACACTGCGGACTGCATGAAGTAGTCATTCATGCAATCCGCCGCATCGATATCTCTCGTCGCCTGCAGTGTTCGAGGCCGTTGTACGGGTACGAGAAGAGCCTTCCGCTGTCTCTCCGCCCCGTGCCACTGGACAGAAGGCGCTGCAACGTCGCATCCTCCCAGAACGCGTGTTCCGCCCGCATACATGGATGTATGCGGCGTTCGCTGCCTGCTACAGAGCCCTGCGGCCCGTGCTTTCATCCCACATGTCTGAACTTGGTGCCGTCTGTATGCTCACAGGCACATTCGCAGCCTCGACGGGTAGGAAGGGATCATCTCTGCGTATGGCCGGGCCGCCGTCAGGTCCTCTGCTCTCTGAACGGCGAGGGGGTGGCACGTGGGTGCCGGTGAGCACCGAGTCCTCTGCGCAACGGACCGCCTGTCCACGTCACGCGTCGTTCTCACCTCGCCAGCAGGCGGACGTGCGCACGGTGAGTCGAACGCGCCATGGTCACGTCGAGCATCCTCGGGCTGACATACCACGCAGGACCACGCACAGCGTGGATTGCATCCAGCTCGAAACAGACGAGCGAGGACTCCGAGGCGCCGGCTGCGCTAGCGCCAGCACCTCTTCATGCGGCATCTCGAATCGTCCACTGTACGTCCGTAGTAGTCGTCTTGGCTGTCTCGTAGGCTGCCGTACGAGGGGCGCGCAGCTAGCCAACCTGATGCGACAAGACCAGAGGGCCTTATGCATCATCTTGTTCTTCATGACTCGCAAGTACGAATGGCCGTCGGCCGCTCGTTCTGCGGGCCCAGTCGGCGACGGGATGGTGGCGCGACGCAAACAACAGCATATAGGTGACGTGGACTATGCACTCAATGTAATCTCGCTCGGCCCGACGTACCTGCGAGCGTCCGTCGATCCCGACGATTCAGCCAGTGGGCCGAGGACCACGATCCGTCGATGACATCGACACTTGTCGGACAACGGGATGCTTCGCTCAGCCTGGCACGGTTCACGAATCACGATGCTGTTCTGTCCGCGTCGGGCTGCACGCGCAGATCTCAGAGGTTGTGGAGGGGCCAATCTATTCACGTCTCCGTAGCCGGTGAGTGGTAGCTGGTCTTTCAACGGCCGGCGGCTCATCGTATTCACAGCCCCGACCTCCAGCACCTCCACACGGCGTACGTGAGCCGTCGGCCGGTGTGGTGAATGTGCAGTCCATGTCATGTCGGAGAAATAAGCATCCGTAACGATCTGACACGACAGTACATTTAACAAGAGCTCGATCCGGTACACTGATGTTACATGCATTCCAAATTGCTTCCGCTGACAGTCGGCCCCAGCGTTGACCTCCACACACCTGGATTCCGCACATTCGTCTCCCCCGGCTGCCCCCAGTCCCGCCTACTCGCCGGCCTTATCCCCAGCCGGGACAGCGAACACGACCTTCACGGCGTCCTCGCCGGCACCGCTGCGCAGCGTCGCGTGGGTAGGCCCGCCGACGGGCTCGATCGTAGACTTGCCTCCGGGGGCGACGCGCTGGAGCTTGAAGTTGTACTGGACCTTCTTCAGGCTCCCCGAGAGCGTCATCGTGCCGTGCGGGTTGTTCAGGTAGTGGTTCGCGGAGTAGCCCTGGGAGGGCACGTCAGACGTGGGCGTCGCATACGCTGAGCAAAGAGGAGTGGACACGAACCCAGTAGTAGTGGCCGTCGTATCTGGCGCGGGTCAGCCTGGCGAAGCACGGGGAGGTTTGGTGGGACTCACTGTTTGCCGTCGGCTGCGCGCGGTGCACGGGCTTAGCGAAGGATTAATGTCATGGAGCGGATGGACGTACTGCCGATCATGTCGCCCGGGTAGTCCGCGAGGCCGTAGTCCTGTCATGACAGAAAGGATTATCGTCGTCGTCACTGATGGCACTGCTGCGGTGGACTTGCCGCTGAGAAGTACTGCGTTCCAACCGTGGTGACCTGGTCGCGCAGGAGCTCGACGGTCTCGCCAGGGCCCACTCTGTCCGCGTACAGGATGTAGGCTGTCAGCGTCACTTGACGATCGAGCGAGGACCACGCGCTCACGAAATCTCCCAAGTGTGGCTGAGCTGGTAGCTCTTGTTGTCGGTCTTCGCTTCAGTGGACTCCGTAGAGACGCTGAAGTCGATGCCGAGGTTGAAGACGTCCTTGATGTTGAGGCCCGCGTTCAGCGTGATGGAGGCTTACATGCAAGAGGATCCGTCAGCTCGCAGCGTCCGACACGAGACGACATCGCGCGCACCGTGCTTCGTGATAGACACGGACGTCGTCTGCTCCTCCGTCCACGTCTCCGTCCACGTATCGACGAACGGCGCCTCGGTCAGGTTCGTGTACGACCACGCGACGCTCTCCTTCGACGAGTCGCTGTAGACGGGCTCCCCGTACCGCACGCCGCCCTTCACGTCGTTGTAGCAGTACCACCTGCACACGCGATTCAGCACGGATCCCCCAGCGCGTCCGGGCGCCACGGCGCACTCACCCCCACTTCTCGGCGAACCCGCCGTTGAGCGCGAGGTCGTCGGCGCCGCGCATGGTGTGGCCGCGCTGCGCGTTGAGCGTCTCGTAGACTTGCTGCTTGAACCAGCCGAGGGTGGAGAGGTCCTCCCAGGTGGTCTTCGGACGAGGCATGGTGCGTATAACGATGTGCTGGAAGCGGTAGAGGTGGCGGTCGCTGCTTCATACCCGTCGTCGCAGTGCGTATTTGTACTCGGCTGCGCGGACCTCGGATGATTTGGGTCTCAGATTCCGTGACTGAAGCACGCACTCACCATCAACTACGCGGTAAGGCTAGGACTCCCGGAACTCGCTCCATGGCCGCACTCGTTGGTAATCCTCGGACCTCGAGGGAGCTCGGGCGCTGTCAAGATTCGGGGAAGCACCCACCATCGGCGGAACATCACCATCAACGGATGCTGGACGTCATAGAGACACCGCCGTAGCTGCTGCCGGCCGCCCATTTCCAAAGTTCTCAATTGTGAGTCGTCAAAGTTGAAGGATCTCCGAACGAGTGCTTGTCGCTGCCACCGCTTGTGGCTAGCCTTGTGGGTCGGGCATGCATAGTAGTGCCGAGGAGTTCGACCGCATGACGGAAATTGAAAGGGGTGTTAAGGCCCTGGTTTCGATTTAGGAACTGTTCGCCGACCTGCTATACCATCGATTGATGAGTGTCAGCCCACCGACGAGTCATGTAGTGTGAAGCCAACTGGTCGGTTGACCTACCGTGCATTCCAATTCGTGAGCTGCGCGACGTCGGATCGTCACATCTCCGACTCCATGAGGCGGTGTAGCACCAACAGCCGCGATGCGGTGTGTCAATTCTCAAGAGGTATTCAGCGGCCCTAGTGCAACACAGGAAATGTCAGCAAGTGGTATGGGATATACATTCGGCGCACCTCGGCATCTAGATGATATATGAGAAAACGCACGCATATACCAGGATTGCGGGTAGATGTCCTACTTAAACATGCGAATAGTAGGCAGAAATTCCTGGTTTTCATTGTACTCAGACGCTCCAAGTCAAGCTTGTGCCGATGTACCCGCCTCTAACACCTGTGAATCAATGCGCAGACCCAAAAGACAATATTCAAGTTTGCTTCGTACCAAAGTACTCACCAATATGATTACCTCATGATCGATTCAGGCTACAGTCTTGCACGCACGTTGGTGTACCAGACGTACGACTTAGTAGTAGTAGACAAGGCTTCCCAGCCTGCCCATTCAGACGTAGCTCTGGTTCTTGTGCTCTACTCGCTTGTCCTGGACTTCGTCGTTGAATTTGGCGTGCTTCCCCGACCCACGAGCTTTCTGCGGAGCTTTAGAGCTTTGGGAATGAGTTATGGTATTGATGATGATGATGATGAACTCAGCATTTATTAACCGCAACAAGCAAACAATGTGCTAAGACGCGGCGGACGCCGGCCTGTACATGTGCGGGCGTTTAAACGCGCCGCCCAGGCCTGCGCCCTGTTCGAGATGGTATGGTAGTATGTAGAGTTATGGTATTGAGGAGGAGGGGTCGAGGTCAAAATGGAAGCCTGCCATACAAGCCTAGCCGACGGGCGTCTGCACGTCCGAGCCCCGGTGGGCGGCTCAATAGACCCTTCGTCGTCCCAGCCACCTTGCCAGGTCATTCTGGCTGTCGTCGCCGAACATTCATTACAGCCACCACTTCTTCTCAAAACTCCAGACACCTCCACAGCAATCATTGAGTCAGGGAAGCACGCAAAATGAAGTCTAACACAAGCGAGCAGTACTTACTACCGGTACGTAACAACCAGAGCTGCGATGAGAGGTCAGCGACTCAATCATCATCGCAAAGAGCTTCGGCGCGATGACTGCGTGATGTGACTTGTGGTGGGCGTGCTTCAAGTTGTCATTCGGCGCTGTCCTGAACGCTGGACGCCACGGCTGGGTACGTCCAAGCATTCGCTGCAACACGGGGGCGCAAATGCTAACTAGGAGTATCAGATTCGCTCAATAGCATGACTGTATAAGTGACAGCTCACTTTTGCAGAGAAGTCGTTACACATCAGTTGACCATCATGCTCGTGGACTGCTTACTGAAAGTAGGACTCTTCTCCGACCTCCAATTCTTCTTCGATGTAGCAGGTGGTGACCAAGGTTGCCCTTCAATAGGGCCAGACTACCGGTGGGACGTCCAACATGGGACGTCTGCGCAGGGAAGCTAGACACGAGGATCACCGTTCTTCGGCCCCGAGGATAACTGCATCGTTCGGTGTGGTTCGCTCCCTTTACTTCGTCTTTGCTTCTACGTGGACAGTCATGAGCGGGGAATGATGAATCGGAGTGTCTCGACACAAAGAAACGGGGCACGAACGTTGGTATAGAGCTAGGCGTAAGTGCTCATGTGGAGCACGTACCTTCTTGTGCCGCAATCACTGACGAAAGATCGCCCCGACCTTTCCGCCTACCAGTTGGGAGTCGGTGCAGAGTTCAAATAGTTGCGTTGGCCTCACGCACACACACCCCAACCGCAACATGTCTGCGCATCCTGATCTCTATCGTTCCGGAAACACCACCAACGGGGGTGGTTGGGACAAAGTGCGACCCCAGGACATCTCCGAGGACAGTGGCGGTAACGTCCACCCTGGTTTGTTCAGCTCCGGCGAGACAGCAGCGGCATCGTACTCAACGTTTTTCAGGGAAGAAGGGAATGTCGTGCTTCAACAAGATGCAGAGTGGCTTCAAGCCCACGAGTACTTGGGTTCTGCGTTCGACTACGTCGCTCCCCACTGGTCTCTCAGCGGTCAGAGACGGCGGAGCTCACTACGTGATCGCCCCGGTCTCCGTCATGCCGATGACCACCTACAAGACGCACCTCGCGAGCCTGAACCATCTCACGGTTCGGTACGACAAACTGAACACGGTGCAGTCAGGCGTCGAGGCTATCCCGAGGACGTCCACGCACGCGAGCAAGAGCGTCCAGTTCGTCGCCAACGCGCTCTTGACCGTGTACCACGAGCAGACCGCCATCCCCGACTGGGACGCGAACGACTACGCGTGCGTCGCCTCGCTCGCGATGTCCCTCGAGTCTGGCGAGATCCAGCTGTCGGACGTCTCGTGGAAGGAGGGAGCCGAGGAGACGAAGAGCCAGTACCTCGTCGCGCAGGCCATCGGGGCGTTCATCCACGCCGAGCGCACCTCGCGGGCCCCTCTTTCGGAGGACGAGCACGACGAGATGCCGAACGACCATGCTGTACTGATGTCGGCGCTGAACCTCGACGACTCGTCCAACCCCCTTGAGACTGTGATGACGGCGGTACGTGGACATTCTGTGGTCGCTAGGCACAAACTGATAGTCTGACTCACCAGGTTCAAGTTCAGGGATCGGGGTGACGTGGTATCATCCAAACAGGAGGGTTTGTGACGTGAATCGTAGCGATGTCGGATGGAGGCTGAAGTGAAACATTGTGTGTTAGTCTGTGCTCTAGTCGTCTAGCCTGACTGGCGAATGTGATCAACGTGCATCTAGCTATGTTTCCCCCTTTCAAATTCGCATTGAATTGCCTGCTAATCGATGACCACTGGGTGGACGAACGAGGAAAGATAATAACTTATCGATGTTGTAAATATCGCGGTGCCGATGTGATCACCCATCCAAGCGGTGCAGCTGCAATGCCAGTGGAATTGCAGGCCCTAACAGCAGTCCGCTGTCAAGGCTACTTCGATCGGCACCATGATTTGCGAGCACAGGAGTGGCCAGTGTCGAGTGACTCGTAGAAACGTGACTGAGGGACGTAGTCGGCATGGAAGTAAGTCCGACAGGGCGGGAGATCACTAGAGGGATCAGGCCAGGACGATGTCCAATCTGCACAGTGGCACATGCATGAGGAGAACCTGTCGGTGGTCGTTCGTTCGTTGCCTGCTGTTACGCGTACGTAGAATGTGCACATCAGCCCGGGGATTTCTATCAAGCTAGTCAGGAACCGACGAATCGTCGAAACGCACCTCGAATGGGGTTGCTGATTACCTAGTCCTTGAGGTAAGGCATATGGTGCACAGACCGACAGGGACCAATGGATGTCAGATCGACGAAGCATCCGGGTCTGGCCGATAGCATTAGCCAGAGTTCGTCCCCGTAGGTGCATAGCATAACGTAGACGTGTGTACACTGCCCTCATCACCAAAGGCCGCGAATGTCGAGTGAAGCGGGTGCCGTCAAGGACGAAGGAAGAGTGCCCATAGCGGAACGGGTGTCGGCTGGCCTACCCGAAGTCCAGTCGAGTGAAGATAGATGCTTGCGAGGACAGCCGCAGCGTGGTAATGGCGAGCAGGGATGCTGTATGCTGTTTGGGCATCGCCAAACTGCTGGCACTCCGCGTCGCCAAACAGGCGCAGGCAGGCGTGATAGCGAACTCCCTGGAGCTCTCCACTTTCCAGGACTTCGCCCGCGTGGATGGTGTGTACGCTGGGGGAAGTTTGCTCGCTGGCACTGTGTTGGTCGCCTTGGGCTGCGATGCGTGACCTCGGGGTTTTGAGCACACTGGCACGGGCGGCGGTATGGAGACGTGAAGATATAATGGTACCACCTGATGCTGGGCTCGGAGTAGACAGATATACTTGCCCGGTGGCTGTATGCGCGCGATGGCGAGGCTGACTCGGAGCCTGCCCGCTGGGCGTAGCTATTTTTGCGCCTGCAAGAGAACTTTGTATGTTTGCGCATGCAAGACAAGACGACCAATTGTCACTGAACAAGGAGCCACAGCGTGACGCATTTCCTCACACGTCGGCATAGGGCCCGTAGCATCGCGGAGACTGCGGACGCTGTGGGGAAGGGCGTGGAGGAGTGAAGTGAAGTTGGGATAGTGGGGCCGAGCATAGCAGTTGTGGTCCTGACCGCCAAGGTAATTCGCCGTAGTGGGGACACGTTGATGGGCGCGAGCGCTAAGCGCTGAGCGATGAGTGCTAGCCTCTTGAGGAGCGGCCTTTCCGCCTGGAACCCCTGCGTGAGCTCACACACAAAGTACATCAACCTGACGACGTTAGAAACATTCGAAAGCCAAATACGAGCACTCACGCATTTCTGCCCCGACCATCAGTAGCAGCAACTATGTGCTACACCCCACTTAAGGAATGGGACACGACCCAGATCGCAGAGCCAACCGAAGAGGTAGTGTTGAAGGTGGCCCTTTTCGCTCGTGGGGTCTGTATGCAGCCACGCCACGCGACCTCGTGGGGCGCTTCAACGGAGGCAAACAGTCAAGTGGTTGCATTCAACCGCGCTGGCTTGGTGTAGGAGACAATGGAGGAATGAATGATATAGACAGAGCGGCAGAACAGCATATACAGAGATTCAGCGCGAAAACCAAACGTTCAGCGCATCAACACTGGCCACGATCACCATGCACTAGATCGCGCGTGTTCAACAGAAGCACAGGAGTCCCGCTAACTGTCGTCCGAAGGGCCCGTCCGGAGGTCTGCGTCGTGCCACCCCACATCAGCGTCCGCTCACCTTGGAATCGAGCTCAGGAACAAAAGCAACCTCATTATGACTCTGCGCCTTCAAGCGATGGGTCTAGCACTTCATCCATGCGATCTTCGGTGGAGGCCTGCTCGTCACGGCCCAGGCGTACACCACCCTAGCGTGATCAAAGAGCAGGTGAGTCAAGCGGAATAAAGTGCTTACGCGTGCTGTGCGAGACAAGCTTCACGTCGCAATTGTACGCATCTCATATCTTGCATCGTAACGCTCCATCCTCGTCCCGCAGGTCACTCCGGGGTCCAAGTCCGGGTTCGGCCTCCATCCGTGGCTGAGAGGCACCCGTAGTAATGTTGCCCACGGACGCTTGAAGCGGAGCACGGTCGTAGTCAGGAGTGGTCCCATGCGCAACGGTAGTCTTTACCAGAGCAGACTTCGCAAATGCCTCAGCAAGAGGGAGAACACACTTGGTATCGGAATCGAATTTGACAGGTTACGAAGCCACACCAGTCGCGTCGCCAAGCAACAAACAGCCCATTCCGAGGTCCAGCCGAGTTCCCAAGAACCCACCGAACAGGCACTAGCGGAACTGCGGGCAGATTGAACACACCGCGATTGAACTCGCATGCCACAAGGGAAAAGGCGATGAGCGACCGAGGACAAGGCTCACAAATCCGTCCGTACCATTGTGTGTCCTATGGCACAGAAACTTATTATTGCTGCAGTCGGTGAGGCGTACAACTTGATACGCTTTGCACGGGATAGTGCACCAAACGGCCGCGCTGCGGCCAGCCTGAGTGAAACGGCATAAGATGTCACAAGTACGAGGCCGTCTGAAGCACGGTGGAGGCACTTACACATCGGTATGTCTGCCTAATAGTATCACTGTCGTGGTTGTACTACCTTCGAACATGGGTTGACGAACATTCGCAGACTGAATGAGGGATCATCCAGGACATACGTTGTGGTAACTTGAGGAGATTCAGTCTGCTCCGAGATACCTGCCACTGTGCCGTTCTGTGAACAGCCCATATCTCGAACAGGGGGTTATTATGGACGACTTCAGCGCTGCGACTTGTCCCCAATAGCGGGACGTCAATAGAATACATGTAGACGTCGGTCGTTCGTCAGTCGGCGGACAAGCGCCCACATACCCGTACGCCACCAGGACCAAATATTTGTTCGAGAGGTCGAAGGTGTGAAGCGCTCTGAGGGCACCGTCCACAACAACCTCGGCAAATCCTCAAGGTAAGCACGAATCTCTGCTGAAAGTCTGTACGGCTTGCGTCTGGAGGGATGTGGAGGACGAGGGCTTTCGAAAGAAGTACAGAGTATGGGGAACGGGTGGTTGGAAGAGGGTGGATTGCAGACGGATGTGGCTGATGTGACGCTGGCTTCGCATTTTCCGACCGCGGTGGAGATGGAGAGGCATGTACTAATGTTGCTTTCTTGCGCGTCGCTTGGTCTAGATGGTGCGTATTTCGTTGTTCCCGCAGGCGAATATACCTGACCTTGAATTATGGAGTGTAGAAGGTCGAGATCGACACATTCTCCGGTTACCGTATCTACCCCTCGAAGGGTAAGCTCTTCGTCCGCGGCGACAACAAGGTTCGCCTCTTCTCAGTCATCCTCTCCTTCGCGTATTCATCCTTGCCCTTGGTAGATCTTCCGTTTCGCCAGCGGCAAGAATGAGTCGCTTTTCCTCCAGCGCAAGAACCCCCGCAAGATCGCCTGGACAGTGGTGTACCGCCGGATGCATAAGAAGGGTATCACGGAGGAGGTCGCAAAGAAGCGTTCGCGCCGCACCGTGAAGCACCAGCGTGGCATCGTCGGCGCCGACCTCGCCACCATCAACGCGCGGAAATCACAAACCGCCCAGGTCCGTCTGGCGCAGCGGTCAGCCGCCATCACGAAGGCCAAGGCAGAGAAGAAGGACAAGGAGAGCAAGAAGGAGAAGAAGGTGCGTCGTGCTCTCGTTGGATTGCTGGCGTGTGTGCTGACTTGCTCCGGATTAGCCTGCGACCCGCGCACCCGTGTCAACAGCCCCCCGCGTGTCGAAGCAGCAGATGAAGGGTGGCAAGGGCGGCCGTTGAGCTGTGCTTGCGGATTGGTCTTCTGTCGCTCTGCTATGTTATGTTTCGGCCTCACCCACACACCGCAAAATGTATGGATACAGCATGCCACCACCCTTATGACCTATGCAACTGCTGTACTCCGCCAGATGAGCTCCTTCGTTGGACATAAGGTTCAGACGATCTCATGTATCTAGGCATGAGTCGACTTACAGGGTCTTTTCTGATTCGGCACGAAGTATCTTTAATCGCGCAGGACACCAGCGTGGGCGTGGCTAGTCTTCCGGTGTCTCGTCTGTTGAGTCCGCCGGATGGATGGTCTTATGATGTCCTTTGCGTATGGATCTTTGTGTTATTGGTGCGATGCTCGTTACATATCTCGTTGCAAAGGATGCTGATCAGGTGGTTGCCAATCGTCGCAGACAAGCCTTAGTGAAACATGCGTAGCACGGTCGCAGTTCGTGATCAGAACCATTGTGTTCGCCCTCGAGAAAGTTCATTTGACGAGTCTACGCCGCATCTATACGTACCAATCAACCCGGGTTTACTCGATGCATTCAGGGTGATCTTATCCCTTGCGGCATGATGCCCTTCTGCGGGTTGGCATTGTCCGATCCGGCCCTGTAGTGATGCAATTTCCGGTTTGATATTTGCCCATGCTGATGCGAAGGTTGCAATGAGGTTAGTCTCCGTTGCAAACCATAGAAGCCGACAAGCGTTTTTTATGCAATAAGGTGCGCAAAGGTTGTTGAGGGGCTCCGTAGGATTCAGGCTGAACACTTCGTTCGACAGACTCATGCTGCGCGAGGCTCCCCCATGACATGATGTATACTAGGCTCTACTTTGCCACGTAGCTCATGCTACAAGCTTAGACTGTTGATCGGATACATAGTGTCGGATTACATGTCCATACGTGGAACTTAAGCGCGCGCATATATCCATTGACGAATCCCATTCCCTTCTCGAGCAAACCTTCCTCCTGCACTCTTTGAGGCCGCGCTCTTTTGAACCAAGCACACTATATGCGCATGGTAGATGATAATCGTAGAGCATATATCCTGTCCTCTACTGATCTTTACGACTCAGGACCGCGACTTCAATCCACACTCTCACACTGCAGAAGCGTCTATCACCGCTCACCACATAACATTGACAGATCTCTTTCCACCAGATATTCTGCATCTTCCTTCGCTAACATCGCTTCCTTGTTCTGACCGACACCCGCTCTTTCCAGACTGGCAGTCAAAGTTCTGGTTTTCCCGCGGTAATGTCATTCTCAGATAGTGCCTTCCTGCTGACCGGTCCCTGGCGAAGATAACTCACAATCCAAATAACTTTTCCAGGCCACAGTGCTACGCCTGCTGCTACAGCGCTGGACACCTCCTACTTCGCTGAAATCTGCGCGAAGCGAGTCGAGGAATACGTACGTGTAACCCGCGGTCGCACCTGCCCCATTGCGCTTCGACTTCGCAAAAAGCCGTCATTTCCGCGTTGTACAAGGCGACGAGCGTCCACCTGCGTGCCTCGATATGGACGTTAGCTTGTCCTCCATTGCGCCCGCGTCCGAGCTCGTGGCATGCTGGTGTCTTCGCGGTTGATCTTCCCCAGCTGCTGACCCGCGCCGAGCATGGAGCTGACCGCAGCACCCCGCCGCTAGCCCCGTTGGTTGGCACCTTCCATGCCGCGCGTGGGACGGCGGCATAGGGCGGCATGCACGACGATCAATCCCGCGGCGCACTAGTGAAATGACAGGGCATTGTGAGTGCACCGGGTCAATACATGTAAACCCTTCTTTGACCGAGTTCTCGTTACACATGAATGCACACATACATGTTGCACTATTGGGAAGTGGGCAAGGTACCAGACCTAAAGACCCTTAGACCCACGGGGCCGACCCATCGTCAGTTTCCGGAGTCCACTATAGCCCTTCAAGAAGAAGCGAAAGGACCCTCTTGTTGAGATATGGGAACTATCGTCAGCCCTTGTACTGGACACGACTGGACTTACTTGGCTCCAGTTGCGAGGAAGACTTCGTGGTCGGAGGACCCGCGCTGACGCTTCGACCGACCGGCCGCCTTCACTTCGTGAAAACTGGAGCACATTCCGTTAGCTCGGACCACTGGCAGAAGACATGGAGTTTGGTCGGTGATTGCAGAAAAACGTCGCGGGCGCGGGGTCCATGTCATGATCAAGGAACGGCTGCTCCAAGTCTTCGTCGTATCGAAGAGGCAAGGGCGGACCCGCATACGGCGCGAATCAATCGTCGCGAGGCCCGCGCAAGCCTCGAGGGCTCTCGAGGGTAAGTCTGCCCCATTTGCAGGCGCTGCTGCAGCAGTCCCAAAAGGCAAACGGAGGTTCACGTACCAAACGCGCTCTCGGTCGTGGCTAGTGCCGTGCGGCCGTCCGGCGCTCCGATGGTATTGTCCAGGACAAAGTGAGTGAGCTGACGATCATGCTCTGCAGGACAGCCACGGCCAGAGTGGATGACGCAGGCAGGTCTTGTATGTGACCGTGAAGCCCGAGTCCTATGAGACAGGGGTGCGCCGGTATTGTGTGCCGATCGATACCTTTGGGGCCAGGCACTGCTGCTTCCTGGAGTCAATACGTGGCCATGGGCATGGCAACGGCTGAGGCGAATTGTCGAGAGGTGGGAGTTATTACGGAGCCCCAATTGTGGGATCAGAAAGGGAGAACAGGAGCGAGGCCTGGATCGAAGTGGCCTGTCTCCGACGTGGTTGCCGAAGTCAAAGAACGTTCCGAATCGGGTCCCTCGCTTGTCCTCGATGCGGCAGGCCTGGCGTGGAATCCTGGCAACAGATTGCGACGCGCAGAGGCCGCAGATGGACGACCAGGGCCGGCGGGAGGACGAAGCGGGGACAGCCAATCGGTCAGCGCCGGAGTTAGCCAGCGCCCTGACCGGTTGCCTTTTCGGGGATGCGATGCTGTGGGCACCGCCGCCGAGCTTTTGTATGTTCTCTCATCATCGCTTCGCTGGAATTTGACGTTTGCCTTCTCTTGGACCCGGAGCGTGGAACCATGCAAAAGACATAAAGACGACGGGCAAATTTGCGTCGTCGACCCTCGTCATACTCGCCGCCGCACCTACACTGCCCGCCTAGACGTTTCGCCTTCACAGGTCTCACCTGCAAGTTGCAACACCTCGGGCCCCCTCTCCAGCTCGTGCTCTCTAGACACAGGCTTGCCGATAGACATCAATACCCCGCTAGAAGTTGAACTGGTGAGTACATCCTGCATTCGCGTTGTCACCGCCGTACAACATCGTACAACCCGCTGCCCGCTGGAGAGCAGACAATGCTTGACTGCGCTGTCATGCGTCATTTCGAGCTCGTTGTATCAGGGCATTTGACTGACGGCGACGGTCGAGACGCCCTCTTGCCCTGTATGGTCTCAGTCAACATTGCTGCAATTGACCCAACTAGGATGGGCTACTTCACGCCACGGGCTGTGCACTCATGGCGTCGCTTCCACTATGCCCGCGCTACGCTTATGGATGTAGAGCAAGAGGCGGGCAGCGGGGCCTATGCAGCGCTTGCATCCAGTTGTATAGGCGCGGTGTCAGGGCAATCTCCTCCTAGCGCTCAGCTAAACATATACTGACGTTCATCCTTCCTGTTTCGCGTCATACTAGGTTTCTGCTATCTTATATAACCCGCGGCACTCCATTACTCCCTGTTCCACCTAGAGTCCAATCCACCACCAACATGCGCCTCACACTGTCGACCATGCCCGAGGAGCTCCTGGAGCGCATTCTCGCCTTTGCCGTTACGCCGTCCGCGCCGTCCACGCCCCATCGTCCGTCCTGGCATGTCGCGACTCCCAATGCTACAAAGTCGGGCGTTGCACCTCATGCCACGTCCCTGCTGGTATCGCGGAAGTGGCTCCGGATCGCGACACCCGCATTTTACCGCCACATCGTCCTCCGCTCCGACAGGCAGACCGCGATGCTCGCCTACAGCCTACGCGCGAACCCGGAGCTGGGTCGTTGGGTACGCAGTATCCGTGTTGAGGGCACCTATCAGATGCTCCCGGACGTTGTCCGGTTTTGCCCTGCTCTCGAGGAATTCGACATGACCGTCGACAATGGGCCCTCTGGCCCGCCTGTGCCAACCGTGAGCTCGCAGCGACCGCCAACCGTTGACGCGGCGGTCGTACGTTTCTGCACCAGCTTCTCGTGCATGCGACGGTTGCGGAACCTCATCATCCGCAAGAATGCGTACTTGACCCTGCCTGGTCCGACGCACATCTTCGAGGAGCTCGGCAAGGCTATCCGGCGCTGGAAATACCTTGTGAGTCCGATTCTCTTGTTCCGCTCGTCTGGCTGGTCTCCACCCTGTCCTCGAATCTGTCCCTGCCAATGCCGCTGCTGTGTGGTACGCATGGAGATTACGTCTTCGCCTTGCCATTTTGGGTGATCGACGACTCGATGCAGCCCAGAAGAGGACTAGCCGCATTCTCGACTGCGATCGTTAGTTGCTCAAACTGACACGGTTCTCATCATCGCAGGAATGCGTGCAAATTGCCTTCCGCTTCTCGCCCTCGCCTGCGTCTGCGTCATTCGCCACGTCGCTTGCCTCCGCTCCGAGGCTCCGAACTGTCAACGCGCTCCTGCCCACCGTCTGGAACACCGCGCTGCTCGAGGTGTGTGCTTCTCGCACTAGTGTGCTGAGCGAGCTTATCTGACGTCTCTCGATAGATCTCCCAGAATCCATCGCTCGAGCGCATCCACATAGGGCCTCGGTCGGAGCTCTTCGCGTCCCAGCTGTTTGTCACCGAGGCGCGCAAGTACCCGCGTCTGATGGAGCTCATCACGGCGGGCACGCCTGAGCTGCCGGCGGAGTCGCCTACGCGCCCGCGCTGCTGGCCCGGCTCGTCTAGCCTGCCGAGCCCTGGGCTCACGTCCTCTGTCTCGCCATTCCCTGCGCAATATCCCAATGCGTACGCGCACGTGCCGTACCATGCTCCTTCGCCAGCTCCTTACCAACACCTTTCCCAGCGCAGCCGCGCGAAGCCCGAGCATGCACGCGCGCATATGCAGTCGTCTCCACACGACCCACGTACCGGGCTCCCGATACCCGCCTCGTCGCAGAGACACGGCGCGCCTGCAGTCCGCCGCATGAGCGCTGTCTGAGTGGGTGTGGCGGCGGTCCCTGTTCGCGGCGCCGCTGTCAATGTATCGGTATTCACTGGTGCACTGCTCTTCCCTGCCATACCCTGTGCACACACATACCCTAATTGAACGGTCTCGGTGAGTTCTGCGAACTCGTCGACGTATGATCGCATCTTCGTACACACCCCACATGACCCCGAACCTTTGTCCAACGCCTCGGACCTCGTATATAATTCGCATATCGTCCTGTATTCGTATGCCGTATAGTTTCTTCCCGGACTCGTTTGTTGTACTCTACGTTTCTAATCTTCTGGCCGTTCTTATACGGTCTTCGTTACGGTTCTCTTAGTTGACATAGATAGAAAACGGTGATCTTCTGGACGCTTTGCGTGTGTCGCATCGTAGGATGCGTGAAGTACTGTACACAATGTCGAAATATAGTTGTATATAGCCTAATGATTATTCTCTATTTCTGCTGCTATACCGCTTTCTCGCCGTGCATCTTTGATGGACCATCCCCCGAAGGTGTCTCACGCCTGTTCGAGGTCAACTTAGACTTTCCAGCCCTAGCAACTTACCAATGGATGATTTCGCGATTGTAAGCATAGGAGCGCGTTGTCGTCATGAGGACATGGCATGCGCAGAGCAGGGCAAGGGCGAGGCGGTGTAAATCGCCTTGATAAACGGCATTCTCGTCCGCCGACGTCGCTGAGAAGACGTAATGGTCGACAGGGCTGGCAGGCATTGTACCACTCGTTCGGTACCTTCAAGGTCGAAGACATGCCGCCGGCTTGCGAGAAGTCGCAGTCACGGCCGATATTTCATGGCATCCGTACGCGTCGGCCGTCATCCGTCATTTGCATCAAAGCTAAGTCTGTAGTGCGGCTCGGAGGATTTGGTATGTGGCCGAGTGCCTGTCCCTGCCAGCCTTTTGTACATACAATCTGCTGAACTGGCTTCAGGTACGAAAAACGCATGAGATGATGGACCAGATAAGCTCTACCGGCGCAAGGATCTCGGGGCATCGGTATTGCGCGTGGTTCGCTGATCGGCGAAGGCAAGCTTTGAATGAAGGAAGAGAAGAGTGGCTGATTCTGGTAACGCCTGAATGATTCGAAGACTAGAGGTCGAGATCAGAGACTTGCGAATGGAGGTAAGAGCAGAGGGAGCAGCGGCGATACTATATCATTTTGAAAGGGGGCGGTAGAAGGTACCAAGGAGTCTTTGTCAGGAAGTACGCTCCAGAAGTAGTCCAGGACTGACGAGCGTGAACTTCGAGGGTGACCGGAGCCATGCCTCGACTGGTCATTCGAAATAAGTGGCTGCCTTGAGGCCTTGAGGTTGGAGCACATGTGTTCCATCTTCTCCATAAATTTGACAATTGGGTTCTGCCACCGTAGGTGACCCCACACCTTGCCAATCCATCCAATGCTGTATCCCTGGTACATGACACGAGTGAGGTACTGATGCATGCTCTGATCATTTCCGACCTACAGAGTGTCTCATTGTTGCACATGCAAGTCCGCGATACTACCTATGTCTTCGCCGACGCAAGGATGGACAAGGTTTGATTCTTATCGCGAATCGCAGTGGTCAATGACAGATTGAGGTGCATACATAACAGGCGAACTCTGACCTGCTTCGCGAGGTTCGCTTGATTCCGGCCCACGCGGAGGTCCTTCTTGACCCGACTCGAGCGAGAACCGTGAGCACGCTACAGGCACGCGGGTCCGGGGACGGTCTGCTGACAGGATTTCAGCAGACCCAGGCGTTACGGCATCCTGTGCAGGCCCCTCAGTGATACCCTCCGACGCGAACAGAAACTGCATTGCAATATCGTAATGCGTGAGCGCTCGAGGTGGCAAAAAAGGTCCGGGTGTTCCCTACCTCTACCAAGGAGAGAGTTTTGAGGAAGGTCCGAGCTACGGCAGGGCTGTCAGTTTCATGTGTTGGCCGGTGAACGTGAACCCTGAATGCCGTGCCGCATCTGCGCGTTTGCGATGAACAAGGCAGCCGAGCTACTACGGCGATTTCGGGGGTCAACATACGTATCTTGAGTGATGCGCCGATGCTTACCTGTCAAGTGACAAAGTCTATCTGCCCACTGTGGTGGTGTGCCACCGGCCCACAGGTGGGATACTGATACGGTGACAGGCGAATATAGTACGTCAATCTGATAGAGAGACAGGCCGGTGTGGGCGGCGGATCTAGGCAAGCGTCGTACCTGTGTCGCAGTGAGGCTGAGCGTTGCCGGTTTCCATTGGCTGGAATGTAACCACTGCATACGTGCAAGAACCTGCGGTCAACTGTGTAGCACGTAGAGTAACTTCTAGTGCAGCCTGATCGGCCTTTGAGGGTTCTGTGAAGCGTCCGACGATACACGCACGAAGACAGAGGTTGCCTCATGTATGAGTTTGGGGTGCTGCTTGTTTCCGACTTGCCAGCGCGTCCAATCAGACCACACAGGTGTTAACAGCACGAGATCAAGCCCGAAGAGTCAAGCTTTCAGGACCTGAGGGCAGGGATTTAATGAATCAGAATTTTGTCGCTATGTCAAGATACCCTACCTGTGCTCATTTCGGCGCCATCGACCTGTAGGATTGTCAATGTCTGTTGTCAAAAAAAAGTCGACAGTCGGTGTTTCAACATACGCGCTGTCTGCCTCCGAAACCATTCCGACCGCGTCTGAATTTAGAGAGCGCCATGGAGCCCCGTACTTGTGCCGATACCGTCGAGCATTTTGTCGAGGACGTACCGATTCATTCAGCTGATTGATCAAACGGCTCCTTGTTTGTCGTAGCGATCCGACCAGCGCTGAGCTTTGAGAGCACTTCCTCCTCAGATAGGTGTTTGGCTGTGGTGGTATGCCTTACATACAACTTGCAACAGCGCTTGACTTCTCCGCCCATCTCAGAACTGAATGTCGCGAGTGGGCGAGCGTTGTCAGCTGACAATCTGTTTCAAGACAAAACGCCAGGCTGGTTGGTTCGACACTCTAGCTTGGCAAAGAGAGCTGAGATGCGATGTCAACGGTCATGACGAACTGATCAGAATCTGGGCGACATGATGCAACTCGAGTGCTGTCCCGCGGTCGTATTGAGTCACCCACTATCGTCGCGCTGTCTTTCCTACACGGCGTGCGCCCCTGTTGGAGTGGCTTTCCGACATTCGGCGTAAGCCTACGAGTTATAACCGCCATTAGCTCATGCTCCACACGATGTAACCGCACAAGAGATCTTACGCCTGTGCTCCTCTGTCGCCCGGCGCTCCTCTCCTTGTAGACACCGATACTCGGCCTGGAGCTCTGTGCGATGTTCAGCCGTCTCCGCCGCGGTATGGCATGCCCACAGACACGAAGAAGAGGATCTCACTGGTATTCTGGGTCTTGTGAAGGGCCTCGCAAGCTTGGTGTCGCTCGAGAAGATCCCTGAGCTCGAGAAGATCCCGTTCGGTTGGCGCGTCGACGGTAGCTTGGGATGTGCTGTGACGCGTTTCTATGGTCTGGCCGTCCTGTTGTTCTCTCTTGATGTAGGGTGACGGGGTGGGATCAACTTGCGTACTTGCAGCGAGCGTTGCCGATTGTTGGTTTGGTGCGAAAGCTTGGGTCTCGGGTGGATTCACGGACGGGGGCCTGCGGTGGGGAAATACGAAATCAGACGTGAGCAATTCGGCATGAAAGAGATACAGAACTGAAGCGTAATCAGACAGTATCCACGTATTCAACCTGGGATAGGTTCGCGCACATTTACGAACTGCCCAGTTTACGCGACTCGTCTCGTACTGTGAGACATTGGGGCAGGCCATGCCCGCATCCTCGTACCAATAGACATGAGGGCAGAGTCAGGCACAGTCCAGTCTGCATATGTCCCCGTCACTATATCATCAACTGAGAGTACGATAGGGACGTAGATGGCTAGCGCACTACGGAAGCAGGTGAAGAAGCGAAGCAGACGACGACTTACGATGGCACCATCTCGATCCTCGAGCTACACATGCAACTTCGGTTATTCAAGATGAGTCTCATTATCGATACGGGAACACGTACATTTCCAGGAGTTCCATCATCCGCGCTGCATCCGACTGTTGAAGAAAGTGAACTTGCTCCCGGATGACCTCGACGTCGTCCTGACCGAGGTGAAGAGTCAGGCGTCGAGAGAATCGCAGACAAGTCCGACAGAAACTCACCTCGTCGTCTTGTGGATGCCATCTGCACTCGATTTTGCCCTCGACGCCCCTCTGAAGTAACGTTTTTTGGGCGTCGCGGAATCCCAAGTATCGCAAGTCGTGCCTGAGGAATCGGTCGTAGTAGTTTCGCGTCTTGTCAGCCGCACTCCTCAAATAGGCAACTCTACTACCGTCAAGACGATAGTAGACGTGAATCGAGCAGCCATTTGCGGATGTTTCGGAAGCCATCGTTGTGATGGGAGGACGAGCGAGCGAGCGAGGATATGACGTGGCCGACTGGGCTGGTGAGTATCGCGACAGCAAAGTCAAAGAGGTAAGAGGACGGAGAGAACGGCAGAGGCTGGCCGATTGAGATATGATCGCGAATGTGACGGTCAGCCGCTGTCAGAGCGACCTGTCAGCCTGCGTAGGTTCTGGAACAGAAGCCTTCAGTGACGGGTAGGCCTCGTCACTCGTTGCAATCATTCAGGATCACGATTGGCACGAAGAAACATGATCAGTCGTATCGTATAGAACAAAATACAGTACTTGTGTGATGCCCACATGCGATGAAATTGGCGTCGGTGCATCGCTCGTTTGGCAGCGAAGCGAAATAAACTAGACATGTGTCACCAATATAATAACGCGCGAGGAGAGCATAAAAGGTCGTACAGCTCACCACGCTAAAAAGGTTACGTTGCCCAGGGTGCCTAAATTACAGAGGGTGATACGCCATTGTCAACTGGGCACGAACGACCCCAACCACTGATCAACGCATATCGCCCCCTGCACCGGGAAGTCCTGGGTCGTCCACTGAATTCTTTCGATGAAGCTGCACGAGAGCTCGAATGCCAGGAGCACTCTCTGCGATGAATTTTCAAGACCGTCAGCCATCCACACCCACCAGACTTTTGCATTTCGGTTGTCCAATAAGGGATCACGTGCAGAACATCGCGAGAGGCTGTTGGACCGGTGAAGGCGATGCGCAGATGAGCGGTACTAGCACAGCCGTAGCCCGTCCAACGGCAAGCGTGCATGAGCTCCTATGGAACCTCCCTGCGTTTGAGCGCGCGAAGGCGGCAGGAGCGTGTTGCCATCGAAGTCGGCAGAACTGTTCTCGACAGATGCTGCATCGTCTTCTGTGACCTGTCATCTGCCTATCAGCCCGTCGACGGCCTCTTTACTCGCCACTAGGCAAAGCAAGCGCACATACGGACCTATAGGGGGATTGTCGTATCTCTAGCGTTCAACTTGAAGAGCGTAGCGACCTCCACGACCAAATGGAGATAGGGACGCTAGGATGCGTCCTTGAGTGGCGCGTATAACTGCCCCCGGAAGTACTGTCTTCTGGCGTGTATACATACCTAGGCGAATGCAGGTCAATCAGAGATGCCTGGTCAAGAGCAAACGGCATGCATCCTGAACATGACCCACCATCAAATGGGTCTCGACGGTGGATCACGTTGACTTCAGCCTGAGTATGATTGACCTGCATATTGAATACTGTCGTCATAGTCGCAGTTCCCCATAAGTCTTTGCCCTGAGCGGATAGGATACGGCATTAGCAGACAAACACACGGACAGGTCATAGGTGGCGTATCAACGGAGACATGCGTACACCAGCATTAACATTCAAAGAACATCGAACGCTGGGTCCTAGAGGCATCATGATAGGTCCTGTCAGGAAATAACTATTACACAGAATGGCGAGCAGCGGTGAGCCTGTTGTCGACCTCGCGATGCATCTTGACCGTATGGCTGTTATTGCCTACGGTGCCAAAGGAGATTAGGCCTCATATGTGAGACTCGAGGGATAGCATTTGGCAGCGATTGGCATGATGGTAGTCGCTACGATCTGAGTGTCGTGAAGCGAGACGGTGGCCTCGCCATGTTTGTCGGGGGTGAAGGCAACCCCCTCGACGACCCCGGTACATACGTTACATTCACGCCATGCTCTGGCTGGAACACTTCCGTTAGTAAAGTACGCATACATCGCTACGAGACTGTATGCCGCTTACTTCGCTGGCAATGTAAGAGGCCCGGTCGGTTTGATTCGCAACAAGACATGATGCCAGTGGGGGTGGCTGACTTTGGGCTGACTGCGGCAGAGCAGCGGCCCTGGCCTCCGCCTCGTCCTCCTCTTCCTTGTTCCTCGCTTCCACTATTCTCGCTTTCTCGTAGGTCACCAGGCTTGTCTAAGACTTTCTACACTGCTATGCCTGCTTTTGCCATCACTCTGCAATATGTCGGTCTGAACGCGGAATTCTTCCGGCTGCACAAGTCGCGGTCGCGCAGTTTCCCCAAGGCTTTCGTCAAGGACAACCTCAAATCGCTTGAACTACCGCTACCTAGGATGCTCTATCTCTTGGACTGGCAGGCGGCTCGCGTGATGTGCTACTGGAAGATGATGGGCGACGTCGGGGTAGGTGTTCGCTGTTCACTGAAGCACGACTTGGAGGAATTGACCACCCGCTGTCCAGGACATCTTCATCGATGGTATACGGCGACAGGTCGATGTTGTGCGCGCCAATGCTGCTCTGCTTGAGACCCTAGAAATGTGAGTATTCTGCTTTTCGAGCCATACTCTGTACCCGTGCTGCGGCTGGCACACCCGCAACGTTCGCTGTGCACTACGGCGATGCATCACGGGGCGACTGTTCCTCATTGATGATTTGCCGCAGTTGCGAGATAACAGAGGTTCCAGCGAGTCCGTGAGTCCCCCAATGTGCTGCTTCCCGATATCAAACATAGACTGAGGTCGCCGGATTAGGCTTCCGCCCACCCTCATCCCAGGAGTGCCGGACACGTTTCATCTTGCCCGAAAGCGTCGGGCGCAACCCTCCTCCGAGCCGTCTCAGGCAAAGAAAGCCCGTGTTGAGCAAGTACCTCCGGCGACGGCAAGCGCACAGCCAACCACAGACTCTAACATAGCTGGGCAGAATCCCGATATGTCGACTGGGACAAGAGCTCCTCTCGCTTCTGTCACGAACGCTAGCTCTCGGGTCTCTGTGGTACCTGTCAAACCTGAGTCTGGTACCGACTCTGCACTACCTGAGGCTCTTCCTGGTGCTTTGGCGGGTTCTGCTCCGGCGAAGACTTCTGTTACTCGGGTCATCACCGCTCAAGGACCCGTTCACCCCTTCGTGAAAGGTGAACCCCCGAACGACCGTGCTCTGCTTCAAGCGACCGTGGACTCGGGCAACAATACTACGGGCAACGCTCGACCAAGCATCAAGGCCGAACCTGGACGTGGACCTAGGCGTGACCTGCAGGACAAAGATAGGGCGTTGCGGCGCAAGATCCGGGAGACGTACGACCGCGACGTGAAGCTCATCGCGGAGAACACGCGTGAGTCCACTTGTCTCGGGTCGGTCTAGCGTCTCACTACGTTATGAACAGGACTCAAGCAGGAGGTCGAACGAACGAAGTGCCGCATCGAGCGCTTGAAGGCGAAGAGTTATGGTGAGCTTGCCATTGCGCCTGCCTGAGTAGCGAGCAGATGCTGATATGACCGGATGCAATTCAGACGTTCGTATGGAGCGTCCACAGGCGAACTGGTAGGACCTCCGTGATCTTACTCAGCGTGCGCGATCTGGTGCTTGGTGAACTTTGCTTGGCGCTGTACCCCCGGAACGAAGAATGGAGACGTTAGGTCTTTGCGTATTGTGTCATCTGCTTCCCATCTATGATGTTCATCCCTTCATTGTTTCCGTTTGCGCTCGCCAAGCTAACGAGGGTGGATGCAACAATTCTGTAGCTCATCTATGTTGACGTGCTGCAATGTGTTGGCGTGATTGCACTAAGGGAGACCCATCTGCGGCTATATGGTTTTCATAGCGTTCACAGCACCCTCTTCCTGGGCTGTGCGCTCGCTCCTCCAATCAGTTGGCCGTCATCTGAGTTGTGTCTCGTGGAATCACGCAAGTCTCCCGAAGTTGATCGACCTATTCCGTGAACTCAGGTGTCCATTGTTCCAAGCGTAGGGACCGCAAGGCACCATGGTTATACTGCCGTGTGCCTCTCGAGCTGTTGTCTTGTTCCGAGATAGGATGCGGAACCGCGACCAGGCATGGATGGCGTCCGGGAGGGTCGCCGATCGTCGGCTCAAGACAGGAGCTTGAGGTACGGTATGCTTCTACATAGCAGGGATTTGTCGATTGTTCGCCTGGTACGGAATACCCTGTCATCACACACATGTCTCAGGCACTCATCGAATGTAGGTTATCCGCGGTCATGGTGAATCATGGACCTCGTTCCACTGCTCAAGCTTACATTTTAAACGAGTCGAACAGACGATCGACGGCTTGAGCGAGTGCTGCGTCCTGCAATCTGTTCTCAGTGGAGGCTCTCGTATGTCTGTAAACCATTGCGAGTAACCGTTGAGTCACCGTCGTATTCACTGTGCTCGTGGCGCAGGAGACGGCCTTCTACGTGGTTGGCTGCTTGATAGCACCGTCAAACGTCAAACGGACATCGGCCCTCCACCTCAAAGGACTCGAGCAAAGAAGTATGTGAATCACATAGCAACTGCAGTCTCTTTAGCTGTTGACGAGCGGCTTGTAGGGATGACTAAATTCACTGGCGATCGTCTGATAAATGGTGCTACGGGTCTGGAGGACTACACGTCCCGAATCTTGTGTTGAAGTGCGTGTTCGTCGCTTGCTTTGTTGCAATTGAATTGGTATAGGCCTTACATAACCGGTTGGTCGAAAATCGACGCGGCAAATCCAGTAGGACAAGGAAGGGATCGCTTCTGGGCGTGTGACCCAGTACGTAGACCAGTCAATTCCTTGGCCCCACGCTAAAAGGCCATATGAATTTGCCCACCACCGAGGCTGACCGACATCACAGAAGCACGGACACCCTAGCAGTCACTTCAGACAGAACTGTATAAGATGAACGAGCCTTTCCCAGGACCACGGAAATGTGGTAAGAGGGCACACATCATCACCGATTATCACTTTGCATGCGGTACTTTAGCTGAGATGTTGTGTATTTACACCGACAATACGATATGATTAGCACTGGGTAGGGGTCCCCTCCGCCATTGGGTCTTCAACCTTGCTCTGGACATCTAGGAGATTCCGTACGTCCCGCTAAATTTGAATTCGCCGGTGTCGGACCAGCGGACGTTAACATGCTCGCCCGAGATATAGAGATCATTGTACCTGCATGCGCAACACACGTTCCAGCTCAGCACTGCCTAGGATGAAGGTGGAACATGACACTACTGACCTGGCATGACCCTCACACTGCCCGATGAGGTCCTGGAATTCGTCCTTGGCGAACTTCTTCTGCTTGAACTTCGGTGGGCCGTCTAGACCCATGAGCACTCCAAACACCGCAGGGTCAGGACAAATCCCGTCGTACGTCCACTTTGCGGAATTGGATTTGCAGGACGGCTTCCACTGTGCGGGCGAACCATATACATGAGAAGCCCGCTGAGGACAGAATTTCGAACAAGTCACCGTCATCTGCTTCTTAATACCACTCTGCGCTGCTTTCCTGATCTTCTCTGCGGCCTCCTCCAGCTCCTCCTGTGTCTTCTGCCTCGCGCCTGCGACAGCCGGGGCACCACCGCTCGCACTTGCGCCCGCTTCCACCTGACCCTCCAAGTATTTTGCATACTGAGCAAGCTGTACTAGCAGCGCTCGTACATCCACATCGTCTTCCGATATAGGATACGTATCTGGGGCTGCCAGAACTCCAGACGCCAGAGCCGCGGCGGGCGCGTGGTCGACTGCGCTACGCGCCTTCTTGGAGGTAGAGGCGACTCCGTCGGTAGATTTGCGCTTCGGGGGCATGGCGGCAGTTAGAATGCGTTCAGCACTGTTGTAGGGCGTAAAGTGCGGTGCGGACACGCAACAAACGAAATGAAAGTAGAGAAGGAGGCAGGTCGCGTCGCCGTCGCGTTACATACCGGCGCGTTATGTCACGCGCATGGGTACTGTGCCACCGTCACACCAGTGTAAAACTTTGGCTTCCGAATAACAACGCCGGCGCGTGATGGTCAACTCATCAGTCGTGAGATATTTGGGACATGGAAAGTATTGCCCCGATGCTGAAGTTCAACACAAGCGCAAGATGCAGTCAAAACATCGACTGTGCCGCAATAATGAGTCGGATAGCCTGAACTTGTGGGCGCCCATTTGCAGGCGTCTATTTGCAGGCGTCTATTGCCATTACTGTTTCTACAGGCACTCGGAGTGTCTCCGTATGTGGTTCACTTCCGCAAAGGCGGAACCTTATAGCAGCGCTGGACGACTTTGCGCCGTGGTAGTTCAACCGGGACCGGGCTAGGATCACCTAGATCCATCGATGTGGGTGCCTGTGGGTGCCGCAAGCATACATAGCAGACAGCAAGACAAGCTGATGTTGCCTTCCAAAAGGAAACAAACGACAGTCCAAGCAAAGACAATCATGTAGACTCAGCAGCAACAAGATCCGATCAAATGGACTTGCCATGTCCTTGAATTTGGATGTGAAATCAACATGCCCACGGGCCACTGGAACGCTCGAGGTCAGGCCAATGGTATGCAAGATCATATCGCGCCGAACACATGTGTGTCAATGGAATAGAACGTGTCGAACTCATCTCAGCCACCGCGGGACACAGAAGAAGACACAGAGCCCAAGTAAAGTTCATGGAGTACTGTATTCATCATGATCGAAGATGGCATGGCATGCCGCCCGAGCCACACAGTGGCATCGTGGGTACGCCCACCATAAAAATATGATACCTGGCACCCAGTGGCACGCACTATGAATATTTTGAGATTCTGGCGATTCCCCGAGTTACAGCGCATGCCCGCGGCTGTCGCAAAGTAGATGAAGGAGCTGCGGTTCGGCAGCATGGTTGCAACGAGGGAAGGAAGTCGTCAGCGAGTATCGTCGTCATGATCAACCTTCATTGCCGTGTTGCGTGACCCGTGCTTCGTGACCGAAGGTGGGTCGTGTCATCATCGAGTGGGTCTGGAGGAGCGGCTGGATGTCCTTCTCAAGCGGCACCTGTCTCCGAAGAACTGCTATGACTCGGAGAGGTCGAGCATGCCCGTACCAGTTGCGCGGCGCTCAAAGGTTTTTGAAACGATGTATCCATGCATCGAGGGCCTTGTAAGCGCATGTCCGCAGTAGTGGGCGAATGCGCCAGGCCCCATATTCGATGGATGACCACGTCGTCTCTTTCCGCAAGTGTTGCATCAAACTCTTCAAAGGGAGGTCTGAGTCCGAATGAGTTGACGAAGTCTTCATATGGTCGCCGCCTTTCCTAGTCTTCTCGAAACCGATCGAATCGTACAACTTGCACGTCGCCCCCCGATGGTCATGTTCCGCGTGTAGGGAACATGGCTGGCCTGCAGGGATGCTGACATGTCCGGTCGTACACGGTGTCAGAAGAGTGATGGTGAGGGTTGCCTCGGGAGTCACGATCAGTATGAGACGACCAAGACATGCATAGTGTCGCTTACCAAGTACGAAATTTGACGGTAATGCACTGCAGTCCACTTCCACATTGGGGGCTGCGAATGTGGTCTCGAGCGAACACTCTTGTGCCACGATAACACCTCTCGAGATGGTTAGGCCCGGACCGTCCTTGGTCCAGTCATAGGCCTCCAGCGGTGCCCGACGTGCATCCACAGTAGTGACAGCGCTCAGCTTGGGCAGCGCATGTACGACGCGAAGTAGATCCGCAAAGCAAGGAAACCGAGAGTCAGAAACAAGGACAGTCGTGACAGAGACGAATGACGATAGGCGTGTGTAGAATTTATGATGGACCATGCGAGGTGTCCATTCGACATCGCACATCTCGACAGTGGAGAGACGTGGCAAGAATGACCCTGGGAGGTAGATTGGAACAACATGTGCGAAAGACTTTCTTTTGTCGTCACGGATGACGAGCTTCTCTACAAGTGCATAGAAAGCCCTCGACCTTTTGGCAGATAGAAAGTGTGATGCACGCTGCAGCTCGGGCAGGCTGCGTACCGTCAGCACAGTGTCCCTTTTGAGATGTGGCAGAATCACGACGGACCACGCCCTACAAGTCAAGGCGCACTTGAGTAACAACGGAGGATCGTCCCACAGGTAACCGATGATCAAGGAGGTTAACTCCGGTATGAAAGCAACGCCGGCTCTTTGCATCTACCATATAGCAGCTTGAGCTAAGCTGTTTACTGCAAAAGAAGGTACTCACCGTCAGAGTATCAGAGTATGTGTTATAATAGGTGCATCCATGCGTGGGTGATCCCCTGCAAGTTCGCCAAAAGCATATGTTATATACTTCCCGCTCACGCATGGTGGGGGGGCATAGGTGTCTGAGCATCCGCTAAACGTCGTGTCCACAATTCTCGGTGAGAAATGAGGACCCATGCACGACTTGGTGGAACATACTCCCCGAGTAATGCAGTCCTAGTCTTCTGTGTGAATGCCATTGTGACGATGCAGTGAAGGGGGTGGCCAGCCTAGACCACGGTTGACCCTAGTTGACCCGAACATTAGGCAGTCAAGCCAAGCCACATTCGCTTCCGTACGGAGTAGTCGCATATCGAGGAGTACCGACACAGTGTGACCGATTCCGACGGGAGTCAAGACTCCGTCAGTGGGCACAGTGTTATAGGTCTCACTCGGGCAATAATAAGCTGAGCGCCGAGGCCGTGCAGGTTGAACGTTGATGATGCGGACGAGCTTCCCTGCAACTTGAAGTCCCCTGTCATTCACATTTCAGCAATATGAGCATATCGTCGTGGTTTGCCAGTGAGAACACACCACCGCCCCTTCAAAGCGCTCACGCCTCCTATGCCTGCCAACGGTAGCCTGTCAAGTCCATTGTTCTAGCAATTCTCGTTTTTGAGTGATCAACCATTGGTGAACGATGCTGATGTGAATAACCTGAGGCTGCTGATGTGACAACTATCACTGAACGCCAGTTACTTACTGTATACGCCGACAGGATACTCGCCCAGGGCTTCGGGCTTCCTTACAGTGGATGCTCGTAAATAGCTGTCTGAGTAACTGAACTAGTCGTTGGCGAAGTTCATATCGGCTGCGCCTTCGAACATGGGGAGGTGATTCTACCACTGTAAGTTCACCAGATGCTGGCATGCTCATGTATGAATCCCTCTAGTTAGTGTAAAGGGATCATACATAGATCCCAGTAGTTACAGTGCAGTGACTACTGCGCCTTCATATATGAAGGTGCAGCTGGCGCTCCGCTCACTACCCGAAAGGGCAGCTGCCCTTTAGGGACAGCCCGGGTCAGTGTCACTGCGGCCTGGCGGCGGCGGCTACCCTAAATAGGTCCTGTCGCGCACTCTTCCGGTTTGGGTGCCATTGCGGGCATTGGGCGATTGCAATCGTGATTTGCGATCTGCTTGATCTACACGTTCTGGGCTAGGTACGATACCCAGCGTGTATGTTGCTCTCCACGACATATATTGTACATTCGTTCCTTTACTTACTACTTCAATTGTAATCTAATTGGCACGAAGGATGAAGCAATGAAATGACCTGGTATGTTCGAGGCCCCGACAAATGCTCAGGCTCTGAATGCTGTGATCGTATGGATGCTGCGATTTGTCGTCCCACCCATCACCCGCAGCCTCCTGTGTGTCGCCCGCTGATAGCGCGAAGGTAGGCATAGCAGAGCTTGCTACGCGGTGGTGACCCTTGTTGACAGCCGGTCAATGGCTCATTCACGCGGCGAATCATGCCGGTTAGGGTGTGCTTTCCACTCGTTGATGTGCCTTCATTCGTACCTGTGGACGTGCCATTTGTGCTGGCCGACGCACTGCCGTTCGTACCTGCTGACGCGGACCCCTTCATCTCTGCTGACACACTGTTTGTGTTGGTCGACGCACCACATCAGGAAAAACTGACATTCTCAGAAAGAAGCAATAAAGTCTCGTGAAGCCCTTGAAGAGTGGTTGAAAGGAGGTTTGGCTTGAAGACTGAACCAAACACTCTTCAACACAAGTCGCCTAATTTGGAGAATGGTCAAAGCCTTGAGTGTACTTTATGAGGAGTTCAGTAATTACTTTTTGAGCACTCACCGTTCAGTTCTATTACTATAAAGCTCTTTGTAATCTGAGCTGGCCTTTTATGTATCCTGTTTTTATTTTAGTTGTATAGTCTAATGGATGTGTTGAATCGACTTATGAGCAAGTTTGCATAGCTCGTGGAGTAGGCCCTTTCTATTTTCATTTCCTTTTTCAGTCCTTCATCAATGACTCATTAGTCTCTCTGACAACTTCGCAATCGGTCTCTAGCGCACAGGTTTCCCAGCAGAAAATCCATAATACCACCGTTTACACTGTACAACAAATCATACTACATGACTGCAAAGGATACAACAACGCTACGGGTGACGACAGTGAGGGAGGACCTTGGTATAGATGCAGACACCCTGCAGGTTATCTTACACGCCGACTGTTGTGACTTCTTCCACGCATATGAGTATTTGAGATTCTGTGGACTCATTAGCACACAATAATTGAACTCAATCTAGTTGACACCCCACCGCCACGAAAACAACATACCGACGTTCAAGACACCTCGCTAGGCTCACCAGATGTTCCGGACAAAGCCTTTCTGCCAGACGACGCTGCAGAATCCTTCGCCTTGGAGGACGACCCCTTCTTCAACCAGAGGTCGTTGAGCATCATGTCGCCATCGTCCATCTCCACGTCCTCGCTTCCCTCCTCGCCATCAGGCTCTGCCTCTCCCAACTGCGCAATCTTCCTGTTGCAGCAGATTGTCTTCTTTAGTTACATGTCAAATACAATCCAAGATACTCACCGTATGTTGTAAGCGAGGGTGTCGTCCATGGACTGCAGCATGTTCCGCAACCCTGCCAAGCGTTGAGATTTGTCGGAGTCAGGGTTTTGCTCCAGCTCTGCTTCTCCGTCCCGGACGAGCTTCCTCCACCTATCGATGCGGGCTTGGAAGCGATCGTGGCTGCAGTCATGTT